CATGCACATGGTGCACGTCGCGCTCGTCTCAATACGGTTCCCGATAGTGATGGTATTGGATCATGGGCTGCAAAGACAAGTAACCAGAACCAATGGATCCAGGTGAACCTCGGAGACGTGAAGGAAGTATCGGGTTTGATAACTCAAGGACGAAATGGCAACTATGAGCAATGGGTGACTTCTTATAAAGTATTATACAGCATTGATGGAAACTACTGGGAAACCATTCTTGAAGATGATGGTCAACCAAAGGTTTGTGTAGAACTTGTAGAAAATTAATGTTGTAGTTTTTGTAAAAGTTATGTAGCATGTAATGTTTGGGGTTGTGGGGCGAGGTGGGAAATTCCAAATATTTTAAATTAGAAATTTTGCAATAGGACCCGCGGCAGTTATTTGAGGAGCAGAGCGATCGGACTCCATATATCCGGGATATTCAACGCAAGAAGCAGATACATTACCTCTTGGCTTTAAAGACCTAATGCAGATTTCATCTGGGGTTGTATAAATGGACAGTTATGCAAGATAAAATAAAATATACATCATGACATGATTTTATCATTATCACTTTATATCTATTAATATGTGTGAAATAAATTTTGTATGCGATATATGGTTACCGTGGGTGTTTATGCTATTTAATGGCGTGAGCCAACAGTGGCGTAAGTACAGCTGCAGGTTCAGGCGATTCATTGAACCAGCACCACCCCCCCCCCCCCCGATCTCCAGGGGCACCTGATCTTTAGGGGCACCGCCCCTTATAAAAATCAAATAATTAAATCAATGCATATTATACAAATCTGGATTGATAGCATTTACCTATATATAGGCCTAATGAACATTATGTAATTTAAAAGTGTTAATAATGTTAAAATAATCAATTATACATTCAGTAACTACCGGCGGTTCAGTGAAACAGGGGCCACCGTGGTTTAGGGGCCTCTGGACAAAATCTTCTTATGGTGTTGAAATTATAATTTTAGACCACAATATTGGGGATTGGCATCACAATAACTTTCATTGGACCAGAAAATTAATATTTAATTCGAGACGACCTCGTCGTGGCGTCGTACAGCGGTGTGGGGTTCCAGGCTTTTGGACGTGGGAGGAGGTGATACTGATTTTCACACACGCTACTCACGAAATCAAAAATTCCAGTGCGACGAAATGCAACAATGATTAGATTAAATAACTTAATTCAAACTTGCCACATTAACAAAATTTGATACATTACAATCAAAATGTTTTTGATTTATTCACATATTTATTCAGAATCGTCGAATTTTTTCCTTGGGCATTTTAGTCCCTGGACCTTAATCGGGCACTTTGCAATCATTTGGTCCCAGATAATCGGTTGTGACTTGAGCTCGTAATTATTGCTCGTTCTACTCAGGACGTTGTATTTAAAGGATAAAAATCTTTCAAACTGGTCTTCCAAAGCATCAGAACAATGGGTCTATGTCTTCCTAAAGACCTCATTGATCGCTTCGATCGCTGGAAAGTATTACTATGACTAAATATAAAAACCATTCAAATTAGTCTATATATAATTCAGAACTGCTGATTTTCCCTGGCTTTTTTTTGTCCTTGCACCCTGACCGGGGCCGTTGTAAAACCTGATCTGGACCCTTGTAAAAACGTAGGCCTAATTCTAACATTGATCCTCCACCCCACGTTGTTGCTCCATATTCTTGTTGCTCTATTAAGTATACATTTCTCACCTGGTACATCTGTCCATGGAGGAATAAATACATGGTCTGTTTGCCAATTGACTTAATAATAATACAAAAAAACAAAAAAACAAACAAACAAATAAAAAAAACTATGCCTGCTGTCGAATCTCGTAGGCCTTTCAAAAGACAATTAATAGGATAGGTTTATTTAAATAATTCATAGCATACTGTACCCTGTGTATTTATAACACATGTTTTATTTAATTAGACCTACATCTTTTTTGTATGTATTTCACAATATCCGTCAACTCGTATAAATATAATAGGCTTATTGTAATTACGTATTGCGTTATATATTGTGCTCATGTTTCTTGCTCTTTATTTGTTTATGGAGGAATTCATTCATCTAGTTATGCCATTGATTAGAAGTTTATGAACAATACATTTTTTCTATCATTTTCGCAATACACTGTCTTTTTCACATTATTTAAAGAACTAATTGTGATTTGGTTGAATTTGGATCATATTACTACCGTCTTTGTCCAGATATAGCATTCCTAACCTTTGTGGCGATTTCTTAGGCCCTATAATCTCTTTTGTGAATAGGCATATTAATAAGCCTGATGTTTCTTGAATCATAACAGGAATATGCTTCCTGCAATGTCAAACTCTTCCAAAAAAATTAGCTTATTATGGAAGGGTCCATCATAAACATTCCCCTCACTCCCTCACATCTGCAACCAAGTCGGCAATGGAGAGAGATATTTTGGTCCCGACCGACTGCTGTGAACATTATTTTGCTATAACATGACGAGAGTATGTGTCTTAAACATGCCGGTGATAATTAGGCCAAAAATTGTTTGTTTGCCCTCCTCTACCCGCCCCCAACTGAAAATAATTGGGGCTGAAAAACAAAAACAAAAACGTTTAAAAATGTTCTTTTTTAGCTTTTTTTTTTTACTAATTAAAAAGAAGATGTGAGTAAATTTATCTTTATATTTTGCCAGATGCCCTACAATTTAGTCTAAAGATGTTGTCTTATGTAATATATTGCCATTCTAAGCCTCTGTGGGTCCCTCTGGAAGTCCCCCAGTCAGTTGCGAGACGTTGGCGGCGCTGTTTCAAAATAAATCTAATAAAAAAAATGGTCTACACTGTGACGATGTTCACACTACGCTCACCGTTTACAACATTTATTTGAATTAATTTTTATATACAGTTATTGTTATACATAGAGGTGTCATCAATTGTGCCTTGTTTCATTTCAATAATTCCTACTCCATAGCTATCGAATGATAGAATAATAGATATTCTAAACTGTAACCCGTTCGACGATACAGAATCCATTTAGGCCTATATATGATTTTATCAGTATTTTGTTTTGGATTTTGTTTCTTACAGGCGTTTGTTGGAAATACTGACAAGGACACTGAAGTCACATCGATATTTTCTGAAAAACTGATAGCACAGTATATTCGCATTCATCCTCTCGAATGGCATGGACACATTTCTATGAGATTTGAAGTTCTTGGTTGTCCAGGTAAACAATAATAATAAAAAAGTGAAAAGTCAAAAAAAGTAGTAAGTAGCCTACACAAAGAGATCTGAATGCAAAAGAGGTTCACGGTAATGTCATATGCAAAGTAAAATTGAGACATTATACAGTTTACATTTAAAAAAGTAAACCATATAAAGTGAATAACAATATGTTCTTTTTTTTTTTTTTTTTTTTTTTTAGCTGCTACGGAACCCATTGCTGGTAAGTACACACACATTTTACTTGTATTTACAATAAATGAGAATAGATTTATTTATTAGTACTTACAATAGATGAGAATCTACGATTGCTAATCTTGGTTCCTCTTTTTTCATAATGGACCGTTCCACTAAGCCCCGCCTCTTGGATATTGTTACTAATGTCCCTAAAAAAACCGACAGTGTCAAAACATACGCAAGCACGTGCATTTGATTGACAGCACGTGTGATTGTTGGGCACGCGTATTCCTGGCAATGTAATGATGGGTCAGTTGTTGAGTTTGATTGACACTCCGCGGGATGGTCTATTACAAATGTAGAGATTCGTGTTAAAATAATAATTTAAACTCTAATCAGTGAATCCTATCCAATCTAAACAGCAGAATGCCAAAAACCAGCTGGGCTGGAGTCACTTGAAATACCATCAGCATCTATATCAGCCTCCAGTGAATACGACGATCAACATGGCGCACGTCGCGGTCGACTTAACTTGACTCCTGACAGTGGTGGTATTGGTGCATGGGCCGCAAGATCAAACGACCGCAATCAGTGGATCCAAGTTAATCTTGGACAGGTGAAAGAAGTAACTGGAGTAATAACACAAGGAAGAAATGGCAATTATGACCAATGGGTGACGTCTTATGAAATTCTTTATGGAATGGATGGCAATAGTTGGCAGCCAATTCTCGGAGCAAATGGACAAGCAAGGGTAACTGTTATACGTTTAGATACCGGTACAAGATGGATATATACTGTATATGTATATGTGTGTATATATATATATACACATACAAACAGCATTTACAACAGCTAAAATATAAACGTAAGTAAACAATCAGAAATAGAACCAGAGCTTTCGGCCATTCAAGGTTCAGCATTCAAGATAACGATACATATGAAATTTGTTTTCCTAGAGACTAATTTTATGTTTATATACGTATAACAAAAGAAAAATGTATACACAAAGCAATGGATATTTTAATGAATAATATATTACTTACTTACTTCAGGGTTCGTCAGTCCACTGTTGAACATACCCCTCCTCTAAACTCCTCCACCTTTTTCTGTCTGATGTTGCCTTAAACCAATATTTCCTGTGTGTTTTCAAGTCGTCCATCCATCTTCTTTTTTACTTTCTCTTTGTATCCATTCTGTTATTTTTTTTGTCTATCTGTTATCTGTGTTTCTGATTACATGTCCTGCCCATCTACACTTCTTTTTTGCTACTTCTGACATGACATCATTCATACCTGTTCTCCGTCTTATTGCTTTACATGGTATTCTATCTTAAATCCATATGTGTACCATGTGTCTTTCCACTTAACTTTTCCGTGATTTTCTTTGTAAGGTGCCAGGTTTCCGAACCATAGGTCATAACCGGTAAAACACATTGATTGAATACCTTCCTTCTTAAACACATTGAGATTTTTCGATTTGCATTTGCATTTGTGTTGAAATTTGTCATGTGCATTGTCTTGCCTCTATGTAGTGTCAGTGGCGGATCCAGGAATGCCAAATTAGTGGGCCCGGGGAGGTACTTTCACAGATGGAGGAGATACCACCTAAGCCCAGCCATGGTTGGTAAGAAAATGTTACGATTTAGGGGGGACCCGGGCAGGTTTCCCCCCTCCCTTGAATCCGCCACTGAGTGTAAGGCCTACTTTCCTGCTTTCTGTAAATCTTTGTTAGTTGTTTTCTATTGATGATACTGAATTTGTCACCAGTTCAATGTCATGAGCAAACCGAAGTTCAGTGAGTGTATCCTCATATATGTATTCCTTCATTAAGGTCTGCTGCTTCCATCACACTTTGAAGCGCTGTTGTGAAAATCTTTGGGTTGATGAGATCACATTTCCTGACACATCTTCTAATGTCTATGAGTTTTGATTCTTCTTTTCAATGTGTATCCTTGCTTTGGCATTTCTGTATATTTCTTGTAAAACTTTTTTTTAAATGAGCGTTAAAACCAATTCCTTTTAGAACATCTAAGAAATCAATAAAACTGATGCAAATATTAAGGTGAAATATATTTGATTTTTTAATAAGTCATTTTGTGGTCTGAAGGTGATCTGATGTTGAAAATCCTTTTCTGAAGCCTGCCTCAGCCTGTCTGTTGGCTGATTTTCTTCCAATGTCTTTTCTATTGTATTTTGGCGAATGTGGGTGAATGTCTTGTATAATTGTGACAAGAGACTGATTAGTCTTTAATTTTTCATATATTTCCTGTCCCCTTTCTTAAATATTTGCACGGTAATATTTTTACCTCATTAAATGCTTCTGGTATCTCTTTCTCGAATATAATTTTGTTATATAATTTGTTTAATATATTATAATGAAATAAATGATCGCAACAATTAATAACGTGTTTTTTACAGGAATTTGTTGGAAATTTTGACAAAGATACCCAAGTACGACATCTCTTTCCTGAGGCAGTTATTGCAAAATATATCAGAATCCACCCTCTGAGATGGAACGGACATATCAGTATGAGATTTGAAGTCCTTGTATGTCTAAGTAAGAGCCACCTTTTTCAAATACAAACAAGATAATCGGAAATTACAAACCCTCGCCCAGCTGTTGCGCCATATCTTTGTATCCGCTGGTTGTTTTTGTATTATAGGGGTATAATATTACTGGCTAAACATATCAGGTAAAATGTGACCAAGCGGTAAAGATGCACGTTTAGTGTGTAAAAATAATTGAACGTACAAAACCACAGACAAAGTACAAATTTAATTAACAATTTTCTGTATTTCTATATAGTACCTTGTATTGAAGGCTTAGGTATGGAATCTGGCGCAATCCCATCAGCTAGCATTAAAGCTTCTAGCGAATACAATGTCCAACATGGACCACGTCGTGCTAGATTGAATCTCGTACCGGATAGCGACGGTATTGGTGCATGGGCTGCCAAAACCAGAGATCTTAATCAATGGATCCAAGTTGATTTGGGAAAAATTAGGCAGGTTTCTGGTGTGGTGACACAAGGACGCAATGGATATTCTCCTGGACAATGGGTGGAGTCATACAAGGTTTCTTACAGTATAGATGCCACCAACTGGGAACCAATTGTGGGTAATGCAGGCGTGCCAATGGTAAAGAAAGTATTTTGACTTGAATGATATATCAATATAATATTAAACTATAGATTAATACTTGGGTATAAATATAATATTGAATTGCTTTTTCTAAGGAATTTGTCGGAAATTCGGATACGGACACCGCTGTCACGAGGTTGTTTCCTGCTGGACTGTACGCTCGTTTCATTAGAATCCATCCCCTCGCTTGGAATGGACACATAAGTATGAGATTTGAAGTTCTAGGTTGCCCAGGTAAGCAATTAAAAAAGACGTTATTCTACTTTTTTATACCTCTTAAGTTTTATTTTTTATTTTGTAACTAATATGAATACGCTTTGAAAGTATAATTTTTTAAACACAAGGAGCTACAATTACAATTTTCGTATGCATCAATACACTGAAAATAAACTTACACACTAATCGACAAATACAAATTTAATTAATAATTTTCTGTATTTCTATTCAGTACCTTGTATTGACGGCTTAGGTATGGAATCTGGTGCTATCCCATCAGCTAGTATTAAAGCTTCCAGCGAATACAATGCCCAACATGGTCCACGTCGTGCTAGATTGAATCTCGTACCGGATAGCGACGGTATTGGTGCTTGGGCTGCCAAAACCAGAGATCTTAATCAATGGATCCAAGTTGATTTGGGGAAAATAAGTCAGGTTTCTGGCGTGGTGACCCAAGGACGTAATGGTTATTCTCCTGGACAATGGGTTAAGTCATACAAGGTTTCTTACAGTATGGATGCCAACAACTGGGAACCAATTGTGGGTAGTACAGGCGTGCCAATGGTAAAGAAATTATTTGAACTTGAACGATATATCAAAAAATTATTAAAATATAAATTAAAACTTGGTATAAAAATATATCTCAATTGGTTTTTTTAGGAATTTGTCGGAAATTCTGATACGGACACCGCTGTCACCAGGTTATTTGCTGCTGGAGTGCACGCTCGTTTTATTAGAATCCATCCCCTCTCTTGGAATGGACACATAAGTATGAGATTTGAAGTTCTAGGTTGTCCAGGTAAGCAATTTAAAAAGACGTTATTCTACTTTTTTTTATACCTCTTAAGTTTTATTTTTTATTTTGTAACTAATATGAATACGCTTTGAAAGTATAATTTTTTAAACACAAGGAGCTACAATTACAATTTTCGTATGCATCAATACACTGAAAATAAACTTACACACTAATCGACAAATACAAATTTAATTAATAATTTTCTGTATTTCTATTCAGTACCTTGTATTGACGGCTTAGGTATGGAATCTGGTGCTATCCCATCAGCTAGTATTAAAGCTTCCAGCGAATACAATGCCCAACATGGACCCCGTCGTGGTAGATTGAATCTCGTACCGGATAGCGATGGTATTGGTGCTTGGGCCGCAAAAACCAGAGATCTTAATCAATGGATACAAGTTGATTTGGGGAAAATAAGGCAGGTTTCTGGCGTGGTGACCCAAGGACGTAATGGTTATTCTCCTGGACAATGGGTTGAGTCATACAAGGTTTCTTACAGTATGGATGCCAACAAATGGGAACCAATTGTGGGTAGTACAGGCGTGCCAATGGTAAAGAAATTATTGGAAATTGAACGATATATCAAAATAGTATTAAACTATAAATTAAAACTTGGTATAAAAATATATCTCAATTGGTTTTTTTTGTTTTTTTTAGGAATTTGTCGGAAATTCTGATACGGACACCGCTGTCACCAGGTTATTTCCTGCTGGAGTGCACGCTCGTTTCATTAGAATCCATCCCCTCTCTTGGAATGGACACATAAGTATGAGATTTGAAGTTCTAGGTTGTCCAGGTAAGCAATTTAAAAAGACGTTATTCTACTCTTTTATACCTCTTAAATTTTATTTTTCATTTTGTAACTAATATGAATATGTTTTGCAAGTATAATTTTTTTTTTAACACAAGAAGCGACACTTACAATTTTCGTATGCATCAAAACACTGAACATAAACTTACAAACTAACAGACAAATACAAATTTAATTAATAATTTTCTGTATTTCTATTCAGTACCTTGTATTGACGGCTTAGGTATGGAATCTGGTGCTATCCAATCAGCTAGTATTAAAGCTTCCAGCAAATACAATGCCCAACATGGACCCCGTCGTGCTAGATTGAATCTCGTACCGGATAGCGATGGTATTGGAGCTTGGGCTGCCAAAACCAGAGATCTTAATCAATGGATACAAGTTGATTTGGGAAAAATAAGGCAGGTTTCTGGCGTGGTAACCCAAGGACGTAATGGTTATTCTCCTGGACAATGGGTTAAGTCATACAAGATTTCTTACAGTATGGATGCCAACAAATGGGAACCAATTGTGGGTAGTACAGGCGTGCCAATGGTAAAGAAATTATTTGAACTTGAATGATATATCAAAATAGTATTAAACTATAAATTAAAACTTGGTATAAAAATATATCTGAATTGGTTTTTTTTAAAGGAATTTGTCGGAAATTCGGATACGGACACCGCTGTCACCAGGTTATTTCCTGCTGGAGTGCACGCTCGTTTCATTAGAATCCATCCCCTCTCTTGGAATGGACACATAAGTATGAGATTTGAAGTTCTAGGTTGTCCAGGTAAGAAAATTTCAAAAGACGTTATTATACTTTTTTATACCTCTTAAGTTTTATTTTTTATTTTGTAACTAATATGTATATTTTTTGCAAGTATAATGTTTTTTAACACAAGGAGCGACATCTACAATTTTCGTATGCATCAAATCACTGAACATAAACTTACACACTAACAGACAAATACAAATTTAATTAATAATTTTCTGTATTTCTATTCAGTACCTTGTATTGACGGCTTAGGTATGGAATCTGGTGCTATCCCATCAGCTAGTATTAAAGCTTCCAGCGAATACAATGCCCAACATGGACCCCGTCGTGCTAGATTGAATCTCGTACCGGATAGCGATGGTATTGGTGCTTGGGCCGCCAAAACCAGAGATCTTAATCAATGGATACAAGTTGATTTGGGGAAAATAAGACAGGTTTCTGGCGTGGTGACCCAAGGACGTAATGGTTATTCTCCTGGACAATGGGTTGAGTCATACAAGGTTTCTTACAGTATGGATGCCAACAACTGGGAACCAATTGTGGGTAGTACAGGAGTGCCAATGGTAAAGAAATTATTTGAACTTGAACGATATATCAAAATAGTATTAAACTATAAATTAAAACTTGGTATAAAAATATATCTCAATTGGTTTGTTTTTTTTAGGAATTTGTCGGAAATTCTGATACGGACACCGCTGTCACCAGGTTATTTCCTGCTGGAGTGCACGCTCGTTTCATTAGAATCCACCCCCTCTCTTGGAATGGACACATAAGTATGAGATTTGAAGTTCTAGGTTGTCCAGGTAAGCAATTTCAAAAGACGTTATTCTACTTTTTTTTTATACCTCTTAAGTTTTATTTTTTATTTTGTTACTAATATGTATATGTTTTGCAAGTATAATGTTTTTTAACACAAGGAGCGACATTTACAATTTTCGTATGCATCAAAACACTGAACATAAACTTACACACTAACAGACAAATACAAATTTAATTAATAATTTTCTGTATTTCTATTC